TCTCTCTCTCTCTCTCTCTCTCTCTCTCTCTCTCTCTCTCTCTCTCTAGTTCACCGTTATAGACAACCTCTACCTCCTCCTCTCCCATCTCCCTTCCTTACCTAATGCCCTCACTCACCCTGCCATCCTGTGGTACCCCCCCTCCAACACCTATCACCACCACTCTCCTCCTCATCCCTATCAGTGCTCTCTCTCTCTCCTCCTCCTCCCCTGTCTCCCTCTGTCTCATTGTACGTCTGTTGCTGGTAATGAAAAGCAGTGAGCAGGTCTTCAATAACCGCCGAATCAGTAATTATCATGCAACCGTGACAGGAATGCACACCTCTGTTTTCTCCTCTCTCTTTGCATCTCTTGCTTTCTCTCTCATTGTGCTACTGTGTCTGCCTCCCATTGTTTCACATGTATAGCATTATCACGTTCATTTTCAATCTGAACGCCAAATCTGCAGCTGTTTTGCAATACTTTTTTGGAACACCATGTTCCTCCTAAAGCAGTCAGTGGTAAGTATTGCAGGGTTGTGTACACCTCAGCGTCACATATTGTTTTTAAATCTTTGTTTATCATTTGTATTGATTATCATAACATTGTTAATATAAAGTTAAGAAACACAAGCACAGACAGAAGCCAAATTCCTGAAACCACTTTATTTAGAGATAAAACTGAACTCTATATATATATTACTTACTTACTTCCTTATTGTGTGTGTTTAGTAAGTACATAGGTAACTAAGATAACTACAGTTAATAAGATACATTAGATAAGTACAGATCAGTGTTTCTGCTATCTGTTTTAGCTCCAAAGTAATCCCTGGCCCTATGTTGCCTTACATGAAAATGGATCCAACAAGTTTGAAGAATTGAGGTATACAGATTTTAAGTTTGAGCAAGTATTGGTGGATACCCTCAGTTAAAGTATTGAAATGATTTAACAGGAGATAAAAAGTTAGATTGCATCCCTAGTTGTCTCTCCCTGGGGGTTCGTCTAACCAGTCTGTTGTCTATATCCTTGTTAAATGTGTATTGTCCCATCTGACTTCTTTTTAATGATGTCACTTCAATTAACTTGCTGCGTGCAATGTTATTGTTAACGATAGAAACGATGGCCAAAACCACCTAATAAGACGCAAATTGTCATAAGCCCAAATGATCCTTTTAGCCAATCAGAAATCGTGTCGGCTGTCTCGAGGGGACGATGTGCACACACGTACGCAAAGAAATCTTTGGAATAATTAAAATTGAATTGATATCCCTTTTATTTAAAAGCCTTGCTCTTTACCCTGAGAAAAGTACAGCACCTCAGCAGGGCGTCTTTGTTATTTATCTCTGGCTTCACCTTCAAAGAACCACAGTCTAGATCCAGCCTGATCAAAACACTCACATAGCCTGTAATAATATGCGTATTAATCTCCATGTTGTGCACATCACTCTGTAAGTAGATTAGTTTTGACTCATTCTCCTGTTGTTGCTCAGACATGTGATGACTCCATGACTCCTGTTCTTGCTGCTGCGGCTTCTTGGGCAGTGTGTGTGTGTGTGTGTGTGTGTGTGTGTGTGTGTGTGTGTGTGTGTGTGTGTGTGTGTGTGTGTGTGTGTGTGGGATTTTTTTTTTACCGGCAGTTATTTCGTTTAAGAATGAGAGTAGACAGACAAAAAACAAGACATGCAACATATTGTTTCTGTGCCCAAAGTGGCCACAGCACAAAACAGGTCCTGGAGCTAAACGCTCGACAGATGACTGCAGCAGCACAATTGGGCTGAAGGGAAAAATGGACAACCAGAAGAAAAAGAGACAAATAAAACAATATGTGCGTATAGGCTAACTATCTCTCAACACAGCAGCCGAGCCTGTGAGTTTAAACGGCTCTCCTGCCTCTCTGATCCACTTTGAGGAATAAACGGGCTCGAGATGCTTCAGGCGATGTGTGCCTACCCCACAAGAACCAGAGCATGCAATCAAAGTGAGAAGAACAGGGAGTGAGGGAACCAGAGTGTGAACAAATTACAGACTTGCAGAGGTAGGCGCAGGAAATGGAAGTGATGGAAAAGGAGTCAAAAAAAAAAAGAGCAGCTGAACCCGAGATAGATGAAGAAACAAAAAAAAAAAAAGTAGTGTTAACACAGTGTATGTGTTGTCATGGGCCTGCCGCATCCTCTTTTTTTTTTTTATCCCACCCACAACCTTACTTTTCTTTCATTCTGTTGTTGACCAGATCGTTTGTGTGGATAAGATGGCCCTTAAGATGGCTAGTTAGCCTGCTGTGTACAGAGGGATTGGCCCTTTCCCCCGTATACATAAAGGCTGTATTCACGGGCCTCATTACCAGGATTAGGGCTCCTTTCCTCCTTTGTGGGGCTGAAGGCTGGAGTCCTCTGTAGCCACAGTCTATATCTCTTTCTGTGGCCCGAGCTGGCCAGCATATGGCAGCAGCAGCCAACAGTCTCTACAGAGGGGCTCAGAGCACAGAGCAAGGCCTCCTTTTGTTTAGGCCGTTATTGTTGCTCAGCGTAATGACATTTGTAGGCCGTAGGATCGGGGTGGAGGGGTTAGTCTACCCCGGGGGAGAGAGAGAGAGGGATGGAAGGAGGGGGGGGGGGGAGGCAAAGACATGCAGACAGACAGGAGTGTGGATTATGGAAATATGGATTGATTTTTTTCTGTTCTGTGGTAGAATAGAAAGCTCAAAGGAGAACAGACTGCAGGCTGGCTGGCACGCCGGGGTGGTGCTGGGGAAATATGAAGTGAGAGGCGCTTGCTCCCTCTTTCTCCCCCTCTCTCTCTTTCTCTTTCTCCCTCCCTCTCTCTCTCTCTCTCCTTTCTTTTTCCCTCACCCTCCCTCTGTTCCTCCCTCGGCCCCTGAGACTCTTGATGCCCTGGTCATCCACAGATGCCACTTGGATAGAGAGGGAGAGATGGAGAGTCGGAAGAGAGAGAGAGAAAGGGAGGGCAAGAGAGAGGTGGCTAAAGCATATATTTGAATCGCAAGAAGGGCTTTTTTTTTTTTTTTTTTTTTGCAAATGAAGCAGACAGATGGAAATCTGTCCGTTTCCTCTCAGATCTCATCCCAAAGTTGTGGAAAAAACACAGCAGACAGAACACGCACACTCATGCTGTCACACACGCACACGCACACGCACACGCGCGCGCACACACACACACACACAAACGGTTCTGCCAGTTAGTTTTAGATAACCAAAGTTTGGTGTATAGAGGGCTCACTCCTCTGTAGAGAACAGAGGATAATATGATAAACACTTAGCAAGTTCCACATACAGACGAGTATTTGAAAACTTACAGTGAGCAACTCTGCTGCGTTTAACAATGATATGTTACTCACACGGATGGACTTCCTTGCCCAACACTCCAGGCAAATACACATTTTTAGGGTTGACAGGCTTCAACACTACCATTTAATTTATTATGCATCTGATTATGTTTAATTTTCTAACATGCATGTCTGTGTATGTCTTTGTTTGTTTATTTAGTGAGCTTTGGGCTGTCATGATGTCATTTCCTTACATTTAACTGTCCCAGCTGTCAGACAACCGTGGGATTAACAGGTTTCACAAACAAGTTAAACAAACAAGTCCAATTTAAATCATCAGACCCTGGAAGGGTCCTGTACATCAGCTCTCACTCTCACCTGATTGTTTAATCTACCTAAATTGAAAATTCCTCCTCTATAAAATTGTATCTCATTGGAAGTTTGATATGTTTCAGAATTAGTTTTTTTACAGACATTTACAGATCATTTGTTGTCAAATATTCATAGGTGCTCTTAATGGTTAAAGTGACAGAGAAATTATAGGCAACATATACAAGGGTTTCACCTCAGTGAACAAAAACTCAACAAATGATGTAAAGGATTGTTGGGAAAAAGAGATTTGAATGAAAATCCCTTAGAGGGTGTGGCTGCAAGCCTGGGAAACTCAGTGTACTTCTATCAATTCCCTGATCTGGAGCGATATGTTGGGAGAAATCAGATTCCTTTTGTTTGTTTTTATGAGCAGAAATACATATTAACTGGGGCACAGTACTCCCAGTACTCCTGCTGGAGGAAATATGGATCAACACTGGTCGACCATGGCCACATGTTTTTGTATTGTCAGTCTATGTTTTGGACATATACCTAAATGTCGTGAAAGTAATATCTACCTCCTGAAGTAAAAAAACATTTCCAAATGCTGTCAGTGGAGAAGCTTCCCCTAATGTGCAGCTTTAGACACTGGCCACAGTCTGTATATAAGAAGTGGACGTACTCACCGTGACTCCACCCATTGGTTTGTGGACTGTCAACTATGAAGCCTCGAGTTCGGCGATTTGGCAGTCACCACCGTGACTGTTGAACGTAAGTTTCCATATTTGGAATGCGGAGGAGTGACGTAGAGACGCTGTATGCGGCTCTGGTAGCGGCAGCAACCTGTCAATCACAGTAAGCATGACTCTAAAAGGGACCATCATTTACTGAATCAACATCATGCTGTAATGAAGAAGACTTGAAACTAGCGACTGAGACCATGAACTCACCTTTACAATGTTGACTGAGGGAATAAATCAAGTGAGAAATAGGGTCATTTTCTCATAGACTTCCATACAATCCGACTTCTTTTTGCAACCTGAGGAGTCGCCCCCTGCTGGTCAGTAGAGAGAATGCAAGGTTTAAAACACCGTCACATATGCTCCATGGAAATGGATGAAATGGGATCGTTACACTCAGGAAATAGACACTGACTACTCTACACTCTGCTCGCTGTGTCTAGTTGCACACTCCATCATCTTTATTTTATTTTTTCTACTAATTATCTTTCTTTATTTGTGCATTCTTGCACATTTCTTCCTTACAGATTAGAGTTGGCTTCTCCCCTCAGTTTACTTCCATATGATACATTTACATGCACTCGCATGCATACACAGG